GTTATGATTTTATCTGTGTTTTTATTTGCGTCTTCCTGCCTCCCCTCTCCCAGAGTGTGTGCGTTGTGAGAACAGCACCTTGTCTATCTTGACTACTGCTGTGTTCCCTGTAATTCTGACAGTGTCAGGTGTATCCAAGGGGCTCAAATCTCTCGAAAGAACACCCTCTGGAAAGAACACTCAAGTCTCTGGAAAGAATTAACAGAATTCTTCTTATGAAGCCAAGCCTATCTCTATGTAACTTGCACCCATCCCAGCTCTGCGATTTAGGGTGGCAAAGAGGCATCTATGTTTTCTCCCTAGATCAGTCTTTCTTCCACATTTTTGAAAACAGCCCTCATTTCTGCTCTAATTGTTCTCTGTTTAGTAACAAGCATCTCCAGGTTTTCCTCTATATTTTGATAAATAACTTGATTATTTTTTGTTCTTATGGTTACTAATATATATTCATTATAAAACAAGATGGAAAACATTGCAAGATATAACAAAGGAAAAAATCCATCTTTATCCTACCATTCGGAACTAACAAATTAAAGCATTCTGTATGTATATAGATGAAGAAATTTGAATTATGTTCTGTATATAGTTGTGCGTACATTTTCTTCATTTAACTTTGTCATAAATGTTCATGTCATTAAATATTTTAATTCTTTTTTATTGTGGTAAAATATACATAACATAAAATGTGCCATTTTCACCATTTTTAAACATATAGTTCAGGGGCATTAATTACATTCACAGTTTTGTGCAATCATTGCCACTCTTTACTTACAAAATTTTTACATCTCCCCAAACAGAAACTCTGTACTCATTAAGTAATAGCTCTCCGTTGTTCTGTCAGTGCAGAGCCCAATGTGGGGCTTGAAACCATGAACTGCAAGATCATGACCTGTGCCCAAGTTGGATGCTTAACCGACTGAGCCACCCAGGTGCCCCTACAGCCTTTTATATTTGCTCAAATAGTTACTTTTTTAAAATGTTTTTATTTTTTTATTTTTATTTATTTTTGAGAGAGAGAAAGAGAGACAAAGCACGAGTGAAGGAGGGCCAGAGAGAGGGAGACACAGAATCTGAAACAAGTTCCAGGCTCTGAGCTGTCAGCACAGATGTTGAACTCACAGACTGTGAGATCATGATCTGAGCCAAAGTCAGATGCTTAACCAACTGAACTACCCAGGCGCCACTCAAATAGTTACTTTTACTGGACAAAAGAAAGAATGTCAATGAAGAGGTAGAGATTATAAAAAAGATTCTTTAGAAAGAATTTCTTTTGGCTCCTTTTCATATTTTCTGTCTTTTTATTGACATTTTCATTTTGTTCATACATTGTTTCCTAATTTCTTTGAGCATATTTGAAAGAGTTGTTTTAGGGGCACCTGGGTGGCTCAGTCAGTCGAACGTCCGACTTTGGCTCAGGTCACGATCTCATGGTTTGTGGGTTCGAGCCCCAGGTCGGGCTCTGTGCTGACAGCTCAGAGCCTGGAGCCCGCTTCAGATTCTGTGTCTCCCCCTCTCTCTGCCCCTCTCCTGCTCATGCTCTGACTCTCTCTGTCTCAAAAATAAATAGAAACATTAAAAAAAAAGAGTTGTTTTATAAATTTTTTTTAACATTTATTTATTATTGAGAGACAGAGACAGAGCATGAGCGTGGGAGGGGCAGAGAGAGGGGGAGACACAGAATCCGAAACAGGCTCCAGGCTCTGAGCTGTCAGCACAGAGCCCAACGTGGGGCTCGAACTCACAAACCACGAGATCATGACCTGAGCTGAAGTCAGACGCTTTACTGACTGAGCCACCCAGGCGCCCCTGAAACAGTTGTTTTAAAGTCTTTGTCTAACATATCATATGACTTCACTCATATGAGGACTTTAAGATACAAAACAGATGGACATAAGGGAAGGGTAGCAAAAATAATATAAAAACAGGGAGGGGGACAAAACATAAGAGACTCTTAAATATGGAGAACAGAGGGTTACAGGAGGGGTTATGGGAGGGGGGATGGGCTAAATGGGTAAGGGGCATTAAGCAATCTACTCCTGAAATCATTGTTGCACTATATGCTAACTAACTTGGATGTAAATTTAAAAAATAAATTTTAAAAAAAGCTGGGATTTAGAAAAAAATAATCAAAGTCTTTGTCTAGTAAGTCCAATGTCTGGGTGTCCTCAGAGGTTACTTCTGTCAACTTATTTTGTTCTGCTGAATATTATAATGTCGTAACTCTGGAAATCCAGATAACTCTGGAAATCCCCCTTCCCCAGGATTTGACGGCTTTTGTTCTGCTAGTTTTTGAAGGCTGTCATAGTCCGTTTGTTTGGTGACTTTCATAAACTATTTTTTGCAGACTGTATCAGTTGCCATGTATGGTCAATGAAATCTCTGTTCCTTTAGCTTTTGTTTAGCTAGTGTTTTTGACAGAGATTTTCTTGACTTCCATGAGTGTAAAACCATGAACAAAGAACAACCTCTCCCAGTCTTTGCACATTTGTTCTGTGCTGGGGCCCTTCAACACTTAGCCAGGCTTGTGCTGAGTGCAGAGATCATCCAGAGCTCAAAACTGAGGGGCTGTTCCAGTCTTTCCTGAGTGGGTAACTTGCCTTAGGTGTGTGCATGGTTTTCTATAGTCCCCAAAATACACATATGTTTTTGAAAGCCATAATTTTCCAAAGAAATGTTCTTTAGCTTTTCTTTATCATAGCTATTATTTTATGTCTCAACTGCCATCTTTTGCCCCAGGTGATTGTGGGTAGTTGGTGAGCCTTACAGTTGTTTTCAAGCAGTGGATGCTGCTGCCCTGAGTTCAGTCTTGCATTAGGTGAAACAGAGATGAGCGCCTTGCACCAGTCCTTCAGGTACCCCCAGACAGGTTAGAACGGACATACCCAATGGATGCAGTTTGCTCTTCCTCTCTGTGACCAGAGACCAGAGTCCTCCACTGGGAGGGCCAATGACTGACTTTGAGATTGCCACTGAGCTGAGGAGGGGTAGGGCAACGGCAAGTACAGATGTCACAAAGCTTTCCCACCATTTTTAAGTTGCCTTTTTCTTGATTCAGCATGTTTGACTGCTGTAAACCTTTGTTGTTCAGAGTTCTGACAAAGTTAGTTTTGATAGTTTCTGCTTGTTTTTCAATGTTTCTGTGGAAGGATGGGAACTTAGGGCTGTCTGCTCTGCCATTTTTTCCGATGTCACTTCTCATTTTGTCATTGAATATTTTTTTAAGTTTATTTAATTTATTTTACTTAAGTTTATTTATCTGAGAATGAGAGAGTGAGCAGGGGAGGGACAGAGAGAGAACAAATCCCAAGCAAGCTCCACGCCGTCAGTGCAGAGACCAAGGCGGGGCTCGAACTCACGAACCACGAGATCATGACCTGACCCGAAATCAAGAGTCAGATGCTTAACCAACTGAGTCACCCAGGTGTCCCATTGTCACTGAATATTTTAAAGCATTGCTTTTTAGCGACTGCCTGTTGTTTCATTATGTAGATGTACCATAGTTTACTGTAAGTGATGCACTAAAGAACATCTTTCTACATCTCTGATATTTTTAGTTAGCTTAAGACAAATTTCCAGAAATGGAATAACCATGTCAAATATTATGAACATTTTCCGGTGTTTTCATATTTATTGCCAAATTGCCCTGCAGAAGGTTTGTGTCAGTGTACGTTTCCAGAAGCAGTGTATAAGAGTGTACGTTATCATCATGCCCTCACCTATAATTTGATGGACTTTGCCTATTTAATAGGCAAAACTGAACCACAATTTCTTTATCCATTTATCAGTTGATGGACATTTAGGCTTTTCCCACAATTTGGCTATTGTTGAGAGTGCCGTGGCAGTGAGAAAGAATGAAATATGGCCCTTTGTAGCAACGTGGATGGAACTGGAGAGTGTGATGCTAAGTGAAATAAGCCATACAGAGAAAGACAGATACCATATGCTTTCACTCTCATGTGGATCCTGAGAAACTTAACAGAAACCCATGGGGGAGGGGAAGGAAAAAAAAAAA